AAACTAAACCGAGTTTTATTTGTGTTTTTTTCCTATTATTTTCAAACCTCATTGTGACCATTTTGCGCACCACACTTGAGCCGCACTGCGTCACACTGACGTTTTTATTGGTCCTTAGGAGCCGGGAAACCAACATACAGTCCACATTAGAAGAAAAAGCGAACCCAAAAAGTAATTGAGCCACTTCTACGAAAAAGGAATTTGGTCACATCAAGCTGCACATAACAGCGATCCTGCTACAGCCACAGCCACACTAATTCGTGCCACGAACCAGAAAAACATTGATAACATCATCGTCCAACAAGCAGTTTCACCAGCTACTAGGAAACTAAGGTACGTGGTTACAAATTCAAGTGCACAAGAAAATTACCAGATATAACCTCAAAGTGAATCCAAGCGAGTTGAAGTGATTTGTGAGAAAAAACAAAACAAAAAAAGTTGAACTTGTGCAAATAACCGCAGTGAAGAGTGTCCATCGACATTAACAGTTCGTAATTGGTGCACCGTGCAACCTACACATATCACAGTGAACAGTGGCATATATGTAACTTAAATATCAAAGTGCAGCACACATTGCTTTCCGGCTCACTACATATTGCAACAATTTTTTGGTATTTTGCCACTTGCCACATTCGATTTGCTACTCGAGTTAACAAAGCGCCGATAAATTTCACTTTCAATTTCGTTGTGCATAAGCAATTTAATTCGTGCAGCACATTTCTTAAATTTGCATTACACTGATTCACTGTGTTTGAGGTCACATAACCTCAAATTTTTAATTTCCTTCACATTTTTTTTCACAAAAATCACTTCACCACGCTAAATTCAGTCCATTTGCGAAATATTTGCTGGTAAAAATTGAAATTAAGTCCATTTGGATTAGTTTTGACGACGTTGCGTTGGGTGTACACACGAATTTGTGCATACATATATGCTTATACATATATATATATACCTTCGTCGGCAGTGTTGGGTGGCGAGTAGCACATAAACATATATATACATACATATGCTTATCACTTTTCTGAAAAAATAAAAAAAATCATCAATTTTCTGAAAGAGATATCAATTTTAAATCGTAGTGTTTTCTTGACTGCTTCTGGGTTTTGGCTCGTAGAGTTTAAACAAGCTACGTTGGTACTCTTATACTCTTTTCGACAATTTGGCAAAAGTTTCGCTGTGCATTTATACATATACCACAGTTTGGAATATACACGGTCTATTCCTATTTATAGTGAACATACTTCTTTCGAAAACCACTACAAATTTTAATTCGTAAAGAGTAATCTGAAGATCAATTAACGCAATGGAAACCTTTATTCGTTTGGCAGAATCTGTAATCGAATTTGAATCAGATTACAATAGCACACCAGCCACAGAGCAAAACAAACACGGCCTTGCAATACAGCAAGACGAACTAAAGGCTTTGTGGGAAAAGACCAAAGTAGCTTATGACGCGATCATAAATAAAGAAGGAATTTCTAAAGATGACATTAAAGCAATTAGACGGAAACATAAGGGCTCGTTTTCCAGCTATGTCAAATGCATGTCGGTAATGGCTAGTCAGTCTGAGACGCTTGTAAATGCAGAGAAGGATGTACAAGATCAGTCGGTTCGTGAACACAATATTCACCTTCCTCCGTGTGACACAGATGTGTTCAAGGGCGACTATCTGTCATGGCCATCGTTCCGTGACATGTCCACAGCCATATACATCCTAAACAAGCGGCTCACCCCTGTTGAGAAACTATTTCACCTGAATCAGTAGACTCAAGGGGAAGCCAAAGACATAGTAAGAAAATGTCCACTCACCAATGAAGGTTTTCAAACGGCCTGGAATAACCTGTGTGAGAGATATGAAAATAAGCGTATCCTCATAAATACGCAACTAAAAATTCTTTTCAACCTAATTTCCATAGATAATGAGTGTGGTAGCTCACTGAAGAAGTTGCAGCGCGATATAAATAATTGTTTATCAGCGCTCAGGAGCCATAATATTGACATCTCGAATTGGGATGCAATTATTGTATATCTATGCTCAACTAAACTTCCCGACTGTACGCTGGCTCTATGGGAACAAACCATAGATTACAAGAAAGATTTACCAAAGTGGGAAGACATGGACAAGTTCCTATCGAATAGGTTTCAAACCTTGGAAACCATGTCAGGCATAAAGGGCACAAAGTCTGTAAAAGCGTCAAAGCCGCAAAACACCAGACATCCCTCAGAAGCCCCCACAAAAAGACTTGGCGCGTTCCAAACAAGCGTAACCAAGTACACATGTAAAATGTGCCAAACAAATGAGCACAAATTACGCCGCTGTTCCCATTTCCTAAAGCTAACGCCAACTGAAAGGATAGAGTTTTTAAAGAGCAACAATGCTTGCCTGAATTGTCTGAGTTCTGGACATACTGTGTCAAGATGCACAAGCCCTTTCAATTGCGGCACGTGTCACTCGCGACATCATACGCTCCTGCACACCCAGACAATTCCGCCAAAGGCAACACCGCCTCAAACGCCACCGAGCTCTGCCAAAGATGTTGCCTCAACCTCGCAACAAGCTGCAGCAAGGCGTAACTTCAATAAAACTAACTCCGGTAAAAGCAAAAACGTTAAGTCTAATTATGCAAATATGAACTCAGGTGTACTTTTAGGAACGGCTCGTGTAAATATACGTCTCAATGATACAGATTTTTCAGCACGAGCACTCATTGATTCGGGTTCGGAGTGTTCCTTTATAACAGAACGACTCAAACGCAGAATCAACCTGCCATCTAAGAAGATGTATGCCAAAGTTTCAGGCATAACGAATTCAACCTCTGCTCAGGTCAAGGAGGCATGCAACATAGAACTACGGTCCCCTGTTGACCCACTGTTTAGTCTACATGCAACAGTGCTCGTGCTGACAAAATTAACTGGAAATCTTCCATCCTGCCATATCAGCGCTATGACTATGCAGGCATTTCCAGATCTGATTTTAGCAGATAAAAGGTTCTACGTTAACGAAGAAGTAGACCTAGTACTTGGCGGAGACATTTATCCCCAAATTATTTTGTGCGGCTTGAAGAAAAATGTTCTCAGTACACTTCTTGCCCAAGAAACCGTGTTCGGTTGGATTTTAACCGGTCGCACAGAAGCACCAAATCCAACAAACAACATAGTTTCTTATCATAGCGAAGTTGCCTTGGATCAACAACTAACAGCTTTCTGGGAACTAGAAGATATACCGAAAAACAAAAATTTTAACGAAGACGACAAGTATTGTGAAGAGCTTTATCGGAAAACGACTGAGAGAAACCCAGATGGAAAATATGTAGTCTCGCTACCATTTAGGCAGGAATTTCCAGCAAACATTTGCCTAGGCCCCTCTCTTAAAAGAGCATGCTCTCAGTTCTTCCGGAATGAGACGCGGCTTACAAAGGATCCCGTCCTGCAAAAGGAGTATAATAGGGTACTAACAGAATATGAATCACTGGGACACATGTCCAGGATAAATGGTAGCATTTCAGCAGACTCTTCCGATAATTACTTTCTACCCCATCACGCTGTGATAAAGGCGGAAAGCACCTCTACAAAAGTTCGGGTCGTCTTTAATGCCTCAAGCCAGACGGCTAATGGTACAAGTTTAAATGACGTACTTTACCCAGGTCCAGTACTCCAAGCAGATCTTCCAATATTAATACTCCGCTGGAGATTATATCGGTACGTTTTTAATAGCGACATCGAGAAGATGTACCGCCAAATTTGGGTGAATAACAACCATACCAAATACCAGCGAATAGTTTATCGTACAAACCCGAACGAACCTGTAAGTCTATATGAATTAAAGACTGTCACTTTCGGGATTAATAGCGCACCTTACCTCGCGATAAGGACACTTCTGCAATTAGCCGACGATGTAGAGAATTCTTTCCCAATAGCATCTAACATACTACGAAAGTGCATGTATGTGGATGACGTGTTAGCTGGAGGACATAGCGTCGACTCTACCATTAAAGCAAGAGATTAAATCTCAGAAGTGTTACGATCAGCTGGTTTTCCACTACGGAAATGGACCTCAAATTGTCAGGAAATTCTTAAGGGCATCCCAAAAACGGACCTTCTTAGCGAAGATTTCTTAGCATTCGAAGACACCAGCACGGTTAAGGCTCTGGGCATAAGGTGGAATGCCCATACGGATTTATTTTATTTTATGGTCAGACCATTGGAGGAGCACGACATTATTACGAAAAGGGCGATGCTGCCAGCGATTGCCAAGCTTTTCGATCCACTGGGATTGCTCGCACCAATAGTCATCGTAGCCAAAATACTCATGCAAAGTATTTGGCTAGAAGGCACAGACTGGGATGAGACTGTGTCTGATACTATTTTAGAACGTTGGCAGCATTTTACGAGACATTACCACGAAATAGATAATATCAGAATATCTCGATGGGTATACTTCTCACCTGGAGACACCATAGAGATACATGGTTTCTGCGACGCATCAGAAAAAGCATATGCGGCTACGGCATATATGCGTGTCAAAAGAGATGACAAAATTTTGGTCAATCTACTTTTGGCAAAAACCAGAGTAGCCCCCGTCAAAACTATATCGCTACCACGACTGGAGCTTTGCGGAGCAGTACTGCTCGCAGAAATCATAGAATCTATAATCAACAACCTCAACCTAGGACCAGTGAAGACACATCTATGGACGGACTCGACCATCGTACTCGCATGGATACGAAAGCCGCCTTGTTCTTGGTCAACCTTCGTCGCCCACCGAATTACGAAAATCGTAGAAAAAGTAGGGGAGAAGGACTGGCTACACGTAGACTCGGCCTCAAATCCAGCCGATTTGGCTAGCAGAGGACTACCTGCGTCAGAATTGGTCAACAATTCTTTGTGGTGGCAGGGACCTTCTTGGCTGCAAGAAGACAACTCCAGGTGGCCCGCTCAAGGAACAGACTATCACACAGAAGTTGAAGAAAAAAGAGCACACACTTATGCGACAACAAGAGCAAATGATATCGATATTCTTGACCGTTTTTCCGATCTACCGAGAGCTTTGAGAGTTTTATCATATGTTATGAGATTCTATCGAAGAACTCATTCCAAAACAAAAGCTTCATTTCAGGAAAATTCTTGTTTAATTTCATCTAATGAAATTAAAACAACGGCAGAAATCCTGATAAAAATCTACCAGAAGCATTATTATGGTGAAGAATACGCAAACTTGAAGTCTAAAAAACCAATCGATGCGAAGAGTGAAATCCTTCCGCTTAATCCGTTCATCGATAAACATGACATCATCAGAGCCGGAGGTCGCCTTGGAGCATCCCAGGACTTAGCATACAATGAACGCCACCCGAGCATTGTCCCGTATAACAGCAGGTTGTCCCGCCTTATTGTATCGTTTATTCACAAGGTCTCCTTGCATGGAGAGAATCAACTGATGCTACGCCTCATCCGTACCCAATACTGGATTCCCAAAGTCAAGAACTTGATCAGGTCCACTATCCATAATTGTAAGACATGCATTATCTTTAAAAAACGGTCACAAACTCAACTTATGGGAACTCTTCCTCCGGAACGCACTACATTTACTCGCGCTTTCACCAATACGGGGGTAGACTTTACTGGACCTTTTGATGTTAAAAGTTACCGCGGCAGAGGTTGTCGAGTTTCTAAAGGGTATGTCTGTTTATTTGTTTGTTTCACGACAAAAGCGATTCACTTAGAAGCTACTAGTGATCTTAGTACCCCATCTTTTCTAGCGGCGTTCGCACGGTTCGTGGCTAGAAGAGGATGTCCGCGAAATATTTACTCCGACAACGGCACTAACTTTGTCGGAGCCTCACGATCCTTACGATCTGAATTTAAAGCTTTTCTGTCTGAAACCCGAGAAAAAACTATCTCGAAATACAATCATCAAATGCTGACGTGGCATTTTATACCCGCTGCAGCGCCTCACATGGGAGGACTCTGGGAAGCGGGCGTAAAGAGCTTCAAAAGCCACTTTAGAAAAATGGCGTCCGCCCACAAATACACCTTTGAAGAGCTTAGTACTCTTTTAGGCCGTATTGAGGCATGCCTCAATTTACGGCCACTGAGTCCCTCTTCAAATAACCCTACTGACCTGGAGCCGCTTACTCCAGGCCATTTTCTCATCGGTGGACATCTTCTAGCCCCACCAGAATTAGACGTTAATGAAACTCCTGCCTCCATAGTGAATCGGTGGCAAAAACTCAAAGCACTGAATCAAACTTTCTGTAGGCGATGGAAAACAGAGTACCTAACCGAACTTCAAAAACGCATTAAGTGGAAGCATCCCAAAGAAAATATCAAACCTGGTGATGTGGTCGTCATCAAGGAAGACAACTTAACCCCCACTGAGTGGAGGTTAGGACGAGTTGTCAACGTACACCCTGATGCCGACAGTAGAGTACGAGTAGTGGACATTTCGACGGAGAAAGGTCAAGTCACAAGACCACTGGTGAAGTTGGTTCTACTCCCGCCATACAACGATGGAAACTCGGAGCCAACAACCGCCTCATAAATTACCCCTCACCACTTTACTACATTCCACTTCCTTTTACCACAACATTCCACTTCTAGGTAGTAGGAGGGATGCCATGTCTAACCTTTTTGGAGATAACCTGTTTTTAGTACCATGGAGTATATTTTGAGTTTTTTTTTTTGTATTTGGCGTGATGGTTCTTACCCGAGTTACCCCGGGTTGATCTGGCTATACAAAAACGACCATCCTCAGATCTGAATCCATAATTAAAATAACTGCAGAACTAGCGAACTACTCCGCCTCAGAATAAAAGCAAACAGTAGAAAACTAGCAAGTTTAACCCGATATGTTTTTTTTGTTTCAAAATCTTCAACCTCTCAAGCTTGCTGGTTTTCTATCCGCTTTATTTGGAAGAGATTGCATAAACTGTGTAGGCAGTTTATAGTGTAAGACCCGCCCGAAAGGAACAATTTAAAATAATACAAAAAAATATTTAAAAACTCACATATCTTCGGCTCCAAAAGGGTTCGGTTCGGTGACAATCAGCTTCTTTTTGTTTGTGTTCTGTTGTTCGTAATCGCACGATACGCAGCATGTCGTTATGCCAGCAATCCCTGATAAAAAACACAAACCAATTAGGCCTCGAATAAACGGTTAACAACAAAAAGTAGGTATTGAATAACTCACTATGGCGTTGCTTAGTCAATCAATGAAAAGGCAGCAATTTGGAAAATCCGTTTACCCAGAAAAGCCAGCACATTAATCGGGTACTTACTTCGATTAAGTCCCTCGATGTTGGTGTTATTTGCCGCCGATCGGATTAGAAGCTGCAATAACAGTACATCGTGCTTGTAGAGACGTCACAATACCAGCTTTTGATATGGAAATCGATTGCTGCTCCATGGCCTCGTGAATGGAAGTTCGATCCTGATCGTTCATTTTGTCAAACTCATCAATAAGACACACACCTTGATCCGCCAGTACCAGGGCGCCTGCCTCTAAAGTCCATTCACGCGATATTGGATTTCGACGAACATAAGCAGTCAAGCCTACAGCACTGGCCCCTTGTCCGGTCGTGAAAACTGCACGTGGCGCTATTTTTTCCGGGTACTTAAGAAACTGAGATTTTGCCGTTCCTGGGTCGCCGCATATAAGTAAGTTTATGTCGCCTCTAACTTTGTGTTCATCACCGGGGTTTTTAGACTCTCCACCAAATAGAGCCAACGCAAGTGCGCGTTTAATATAGTCGTGGCCATATATGGATGGGGCCATTGAAGCTATTATTCTTTCTGCAATCCGAGGATCTTTACTCAACTTCTGAATGGTAGCGATGTCTTCGTCCGTAAGCGATTGTACTACTTGTTTGCTGTCCTTCACAACGATATGATTCGCAATAATGACGGTGGCGAAAACCGGAAACCCTTGCTCAGTGTTTAGCGAACCATCAGAGTTGTTTGTGTAAATACCAGTAACTTCTAACTCATCACCCGGCTTGCATAAGTCACAAAGATCCGCTAAAAGAATTACGTCCTTACTACGCGGAGTCCGACCAGCGGGAATGCGACCAGGAGATTCCTGTAAGGTAATCTTCTAGTAATTCCGATATAATGTTTGTTCCATATTAATCGAAAAAGGGCCGGCACTTTGACACTCAGGACAGGAGCCAGGTTTAACTTCTGTATTCGGTGACTAGAAAAAGGGCCCCAAAAAGTAGCCACACTTCACACAATCGTATTTGATGACTGAAAGTTGAGGTAACACACCCGTGAGGTAACACACCCAAGGTGGCCAAACGTGAACTAAATTGGGAAGTAGATTATACACGTGAAGCTGAATATACATATAAATTTACGCAGATGATTGCACCTTATCACGAGTACTATGTACCGAAGGTCATTAAAGAATTGACCACAAGCAGCGTACTGACTACAGAATTAGTGCCAGGTGTACCATTGGACAGGTGCTTCGATTTAAGCTATGAGCATCGCCATCACATTGCTTCGTCTATACTCAAGTTGTGCTTGCGTGAGCTGTTCGAGTTGGAATGCATGCAAACCGATCCGAATTGGTCGAATTTCCTTTATGATGTTGATACGAAGAGACTAATGTTAATTGATTTTGGTTCAACGCGTTTTTATCAAAAGCAATTCATACGTAATTATCGGCAGGTAATAACGCACGCTGCAGAGAATAATCGTGAAGGTGTCTTGCGCATGTCACGCGAAATGGGTTTTCTCACAGGTTATGAAACCAAGCAAATGGAAGAGGCGCATGTGGATGCTGTTATGATACTTGGCGAAATATTTCGCTTTGATGGTGATTTTGATTCCGGCCGGCAGAACACCACCGAACGCATTGCACATTTAGTACCCACAATGGTCGCACATCGCCTTTGTCCACCGCCAGAGGAAATCTATTCCATACATCGCAAATTATCTGGTATATTTTTGCTGTGCTCACGCCTAAATGTACGACTTAATTGTCGGCCGTACTATGATGAAATTGTTATTCAGAAGTTCAAGGAGTAATATTGGAAAGGCACAAACTGTTAGGTATATATGCAGGAAGAAATGTTTACTTTAGAAAAATGCATATAAAAATATATACGTTGCCTTTATAATACGATCGCCTTGCTGTTTTTTTTAATCACTTCAAAGGTGCGCAAAAAAGACTGAAAGCGATTGGCGATTGGCGTGGTCCAAGCATACTAACCCATTCTTTTGTAGAATGGCCTTTAGTATCTTCCAAATTTTCTATCGATTCAATCATTTCCGCGTCTTCCATTTCACCTTCAGCAGCTTTCTCCAAGTAAGTCGATTAAGTCCCTCGATGTTGGTGTTATTTGCCGAAAAATAACACCAGCAGAAACTATGCCCAGCAACATCCTGTAATTAAGAAAAAATTACATTCAAACATAGCTATATAATACGATATTTTACGCATACTCACCTAACCTTAAGATTACACAACCGCCGCGTGCCAGAAAAATATAATTGAAATGAAATATGAATTCGCCGTGTATGTATACGGATTTCCATTGAATTCATTCTGACATTTTTTTTCTTTTTTTTTCAATGAAGAAATATCATTTCACCTTGTATGTATGTATACGGTTTTCCATTGTATAAATTCGCCTTGAATGGTTTCTGACAATTGTACCAATATACATACATACATGCATTCCACAAAGTGAACGTAGTATGTCGGTCAGCGTTCGGAACTTACTGCAATGGCAGTAGATCTACTACACTTCTTAGCGAAATTGAATTTGCTATTGCGGCTTTCAACTCTTGAATTTTTTACCACCACTTGAATTATGACAATATATTTTGAGTCAGTAAAGATGTTTCTGCAACAAAGCATATAGTACCGTAAATATATTTTATTGTTGGGATAAAAATGTAAAAAAAAAAAAAGATGCATTGTCATAAGCCCATATCAATGCACTAACCTTTTATAAATATTTCACATATTTTTATGAAAAATTCAAAATGGAATAAGACATTTTGTAATAAAATTTGAAATTAAACTTATGTATTCTGCTGCATATGAGCTACCCTGTTTTTAGACGAGTATCGCCTACAGTGGCATCCAAACCTTTTTTTTTGGGTGGCAGACTAGTTGTAGGGTTGCGAGAATGGCTAAAAACTCTCCAAATGTAGAGTAATACGTTTTCGACAACTTCATGCAATGAAGTTGAACTGCTAATTACGAATATTAGTAGATCAAGTCATCAACGGAAATGATTTTTTTTCACTTAATATTGGCACTTCCAAACATCATAAAGACAATTTACAATTTTCGATGTAATAAAAATTTAACTTTGCCAAGGCATTCCTGCTCAATGGAATGTATGGCATTTGTGCGATCCACTTTTTATTTCTTTGTGGGTCGAAATCTTGCCTTATACATAATTTACACGAGTCAGTTTGCGCCGTACGAATGATAAACCCATTTACACAAACCAAACTGTTCTTATGCATCAGCGAAATAGTTATGCCCTTATTGTAATTAGCCAATGTCGATACACTCGCCACCCAACAACTCATATCAAGCGTAAAACTCGAACCAACGTAAAGTATCGACACAATTTCAGAGGAAACGATGTCTCAATTTGCCGCAATGAGGAAAAGGGCCGAACAGCGCGCCCATCGCTATCCGCAACCATGTCGCCTATGCGACGCAAATCATCCGATCAGGCTTTGCCCTTTGTATCGTGCGAAGTCGCCAGAGGAAAGATTGCGTGAGGCCTTACTAGGACGCTACTGCGCTAATTGCCTCGCGATGAATCACGAATTAAAAGACTGCGTGAGCGAAGGCAGATGTAAACGATGTGGCGAAAAGCACCACTCGACACTACATTTCGAGGATGAACCCAGCACATCGAAAAAGTCATGGGCCCAACAGGTGGAGGAGGAAGAAGAAAATTCCGATGGTGTAATCTCGCTACTTGCGTCCGATTCTGGAACGGAATCGCGGCCTTTCCGTCCAGATACCGAAGAAGGTGCACTTTCAGGCGATGTAGCGGAGACTCGGCCTCTCCGCGCATTCGCAGAAGGGGGATCGGAAACTAGGCCTTTTCGACCCCTATTGCAGCACGAGCGGAACCGGTTACGTGGAGCGGAAACCAGGCCTTTCCGCCTGCGTAATCCCAGACGCAAGTCCTCTCGACGCAAACAAAAGGAAGGTAGACTGGCGACTCGGCCTCACCAGCTATCGAAACGACGTACGTTCCGAAACGGAATCTTGGGTCACCATACCATAGCTGCGCCAACACTTCAACCAATGATCGCTATCGCTCCGACTGCAGTCGTTAAAGTAGAAGCTGGAGGGCGCCTACATTTGATCCGCGCGCTTGTCGACGTATGTTCCCCTCGAACTATAATATCACTTGACTTAGCCCGAGAGTTGCGCCTGGACGAGACGCGCGTTAGCGGAGAAAGAGGTTGTCTGTTATGCTTACGGGGAAAATATGGGCAAAATAAACGGGTAGCAACTCACGCTATTGCGCTAGCCAATTTTAGCAGAATAAGCCCATCTAGCAACGCGGATGCCTCAGTGGCTGAGCCGTACGCGCATATACGCTTAGCGGACCCTCGCTTTTATGCGTCCGCACCGATACGCGTGATCCTGGGAACCGACGTTTACGCAGATATTTTATTACCTGGGACACTGCCCACAACATTTGGACCACTGCTCGCCCAAAGCACCATATTTGGTTGGGTGCTGTCCGGGGTCTCTAGAGCGTAACTTTCCTTTTTTACATACATACATTACATCTAAATTATCATACTCTAAAATGAAATAAAATAATGAATTTAAATAAAGTGCATTTGAAAAAGTAACCACGTACATTTCCTTAATTACCACTTATATTTACATCTGCAGTAGCACTCCATAAAGGAAGGACGAACTCTACCTTAATGAATGCCGACGCTGCTGCCTGATTTGATCATTAACATCAAGACATAGAAAACATTTGTTTGTAAAAAACCATGTGCGCTTGGTAGCTGAAACGCGGCCGATATTTAGATGTTGCTTACCGCAAGGGGCCGGGATGTTTAGGCCTTAAGCCTAAATATTTCCAAATATAATGCACCACCCTAATGTGTCATTCACATATGTGTACATTTATGCATGCATACTTGTACACATGTACGTATATTATATATTCGCGCCGTTAGTTTAAGTTTCCCGCCGGATAAAGTATCTTTCGTTGAATTTCCCCTCAACGTCTTTTCTTTGTCCGGCGGTTCGAACGAAAATCACGGCTTTAGATTTTTTCACTTTCACATCGGGAGACCAAGGAGAAAGAACTGCAGCTACCAGGCCACATTATTTTCAGGTAAAACCATTGTAACCCAACATATCTAAATCAAATCAAAATACTTGGACAATTAATAAAACCATTAAACTAAACCGAGTTTTATTTGTCTTTTTTTCCTATTATTTTCAAACCTCATTGTGACCATTTTGCGCACCACACTTGAGCCGCACTGCGTCACATTGACGTTTTTACCGTTAAACTAATCACATTTTCTTGCCAGATACCAACAGGGTTGCTTAAGTAGCTAAAAGGAAATTTTACCCGAGTTGAGCGTTCTTTTGTCGCTCGCTTACAAAAAAATGCAGCTAGTATAAATGCTGGTCTGGACATACAACATTGCAAGTTGATAAAAGCGTTGTAATAATAAAATAATATATCTCAGTCCCATAGAATTTGTTTTGATAAATTTTGATTTTGAAATTTTAGCTAAAGTCATTATAAACAATTTATGAGATTGAAAACGAAAAACGTGGAGCGCATGCGATACAAAGCCTTAGATTTAATTGACAATATTCAAACTACATACATAACATAGACCTAAAATTTCTACAGCGAAAGTACAAATTTGAGATCGATTTTAAGCGGTCGTTATTAATACACCCACATACATACATATATTACTCTTCAATTTCAAATTAGCCCTATTACATGCGCCCCATGCTTTTCATTTTCAATCTCATAAATTGTTTATAAGACTTTTGCTAAAATTTCAAAATGAAAAGTTGTCAAAACAAGTTCTATGGGACTGAGAAACATTATTTTGTAATTTTAGTCCATTTATAAAAGCGTGGTACATTAAAAAGTTTTTTTTTTTAAATTTATTTTATACTTTTTAGCCTTGTCTGTATAAAATTTTGCAATAGATACTAAAATAATTGAACTTGCTGTGAAAAGAGAACAGAAGACTATGCAAGCAAAATGTTGTTTGCTCACATTTAGTACATATATGCCTTCCCAGTAGCGAAAATGGTCACTGGTGACATCGTCACTAATGAGGATTTGGTGACATCGTCGCTCTTGCGACATATAGCTGACAATGACACTGGTGACAATGTCATGCAGGTGTACTCCTATAAAAGACTTATAACAGACAATGTCTTTCAGCGCTCACTTATAAAAAGTTCATTGCAGGACATTGTCGCTTGAATATCATCAATGATCACTGCATGACAAAGTCATGCAGATGCCATCAACGACTAAATTACCATTTGTTAAAAAGTCATGAACGACTTCCATATAAACGGATCCCAAAGTCATTGAAGACTTGATATGGCCGTACAAGACACTTAAGTGACTAATTCATGACATTCGCTACGGGGATACTGTGAAAAAAATATTTAGTAGAAAAAATTGTGAAAAATCAATTTTGTATATTCTTCTGCGAGAAAATTTCTACAATCAGTGATGTATATACATTTCAAGATGTGTCCTATTTGCTCTACGGTTGCGATAAGTTGGTTTGGAATAGTATTGCACGAGTCATTGACTTTCTGTCACTAGGAAAACTTTTATACCAGCCCAGTAAAATCGGTTGTATGCATTTATGAAGAATGCTTGCTATATGAGTGATTTAGTGTGAAAAATGCATGCGTAGTCATGAATTTCCACAAATAAATTCAAATTCTAGCGAACTGCAAGCGACGTACGTTGTTGTTGTTTTAAGTACATTTCTTGATAAATTTGAATTGGAATTTTTGTAAT